CTAGTTTTTTTCACAAGCAGTGTGGAAAGTTGAGCCTAGAGAATAATAGATAGTAAACTTAATTTTTGACATTTTTTTACTTCCAGTCCGATCTTGAAAAACACTTCCTTCATGGAGAAAAACGGAATATAAAATTTAACAAGGGGTTAAATTAAAAGAAAGTCACGAAACCCACGGAACCCAAACAACTCATGGAACTCACGAAACTCAGGCTACTCACAGAACCCAAGGAACACAGAAAACTCACAGAATTCTAGGTACTCACCGAATTCAAGGAACTCACGGAACCCACGGTACTCACACAATCCAAGAACCTGGCAAAACTCATAGAACTCGGGGAACTCACGAAACTCGCAGAACTCATGCATGAGTTCCGTGGGTTCGGCGAGTTCCTTGGGTTCCGTGAGGTTCTTGGGTTCTGTGAGTTCCTTGGATTCCGTGAGTTCTGTGAATCCTATCACTCTTATTTATCTTCTTATTTTAGTTACCAGAGGTGTAAGCAAACATTGAGATTGTTACGATTGGTAAGGAATCCAACAAATATCAGCATGTATTCTCCAATTTTTAGTGGCATAATCTTAAATATAATGCTCACTTTAGAATCCGTCATATTTCAACTTGTATTTGTGTAAACGACCCTGAAAGATTTAATGTCGGTTACGTCAGTATTGGTTTATGTTTTCAAAATCCACTTTGACTAATACAGAGTTGAGAACAATCTTCTCTTTATCACAACACATGATTGTAGGCAATAAAGCAGATATCTTTTTAGACGGAATTAAAATAGCTATAACTGAAACAATGCAATATGAGATTCGTTTTCTGTTTAGGCACTGGCGATTGCTATCAGTGGCGACTATTCAACTCCACTACCTCTCCAGTCGTAACCAACAATCTGTCCTTTTTACTGTCAATAGCGTCTAGACTAACTACTGACTGTCAAAATACAAATCACTTGCTCATTGTTTTCAATATCACACGAGGAAAGTATCCGAACTGTCCGCACGTTTTTTGGTTGAAATCCAGTGGACTATAGCTAATTGACTATGCTGATTCAGAATATCAACATGCCATTTGCTAATACGGCCTCTGAGTACTGGACTTCTGGAAAACCAGATTTCCAGAAACCTCAAGAATCCCCAAAACTTTCTCTTGCCAAGCCACGATTGTAGTCCACGAAATTCTGATCAAAATGAGACATCTTCCAGTTCCACGAAACCTCACAGGAGATTCCAACATGAAAACAATAAATCCGTCCGTTTCGAAACATTTAAAATGCATTATAGATACGTTTGATCTCTCTCCATCCATTCTAACACCAACGATATTCGAAAAAACACCCATTGATAATATATTTTTCTCGTTCAACATTAACACACCAAATTCAGAAACTATTCAACCGTTAGGAAGATCTATACCTTATACTTTTATTCCTTCTTTCCAGTATCATGTCAAAAGTACAAAAAACAAGACAAGTACTCTATTATAGAAATATTGATTTCATTCCCGAACAAATTCAGCATCGCCGTTGAACTCACTTTTCAACGACCATTGATGCCTATTTGTTTTTTATAACAATTTTGATTGGATCATTCATAAATTTTGTTGTTACATCTAATACTTCACTAGGTAAAGTGGCAGATACGAGAATGACCTAGCACAACAATAGCAACTACATAATAGAAGAAACGTTTTTGTACTTCTAAACTAACCTGAATATTTTCAGGTATCGTTGTAAAAATATCACAAATTTGCTCTTTAAAACCTTGCGACAATATTTCATCAGCTTCGTCTAATACCAATATTTTGATGTGTTTACTACCTATATAGAAAAGAACTACGTTGAATTAAAAGAAAAACAGAGATGGGTGATCAGCAAACTTACGAAGTGCTTGACGATTTATCATATCCAAGACCCGTCCAGGCGTTCCAACAACAATTTGAACGCCTTGTTCAAGACGTTTAATGTGATCACGAACATTTGTACCACCAACACAAGCGTGACACGTGACATTCATATAATCACCTAACGCCAATACAACTGTTTGGATCTAGGCGTAGAAAAGATTAAAAAAGCAATATTACTACTTCAAGAAGTAGTCGTACGCCAGTTTTGTCTCAGCGGCGTATAGCATTGAGCAAATACCACAAAGTCTCTGCTAAAGTGAGTAACTTACTGCTTGAGCTAACTCTCTTGTTGGACCCAAAATAAGCGCTTGACATTCTTTCAAATCAAGATCTAGTTGTTGAAGAATAGAGATGGCAAATGTAGCTGTTTTTCCAGTACCGGATTGTGCTTGTGCAATAATATCTCGGCCTAAGCGAGTCGAAGAAAAACGAAGCATGTACAGAGTGATATTACTTAAACAATCACAGACAAATCATCGAACCTGATATGCATGGTTTAATGGCACGTTGCTGAATAGCAGACGGTAGTTCAAAACCATAACCATAAATACCACGTAAAAGTGGATCTCGTAAATTCATCTGATCGAATTGCTCGACCGTCTCTGTCCAATTACTTTCGATGACCCGATCTATATGATAAAAGAATCATGACTTCGTGCTCTTGAGACATCAGGAACGCTTCTTACCGGATTCCATCGACTGAACGCCTGAATTTTTGTTGGTCTTGATGTCATTTCTAGTGAAGAAAAAATAAATTATTATCACGCTTTGGAAACAAACAAATTTAGTACTTTTCACTAGACATTTTGGTTTAATGAGTCCATAGTAACGGTAAAGAATAATGTGTATGTAGCTTTTTATTTTGTAAAGTATTGATAGAAAGACATAAAGCTTGAATGTATTTGTAGTACTTAGAGTAATTGCGCAATTACTTTGAAGTAATTTCGTAATAAAGTAATTACGCAATAACTTCGATTTGTGTACCAGAGCTGATCACTTGCATAGTTTTTGACTTCTGCGCGGTGACCGAGCATGGGCAAGATAAAATGTACCGCCGCTGCAAGTTAGAAAAAAAACTTTTGTTCTGCACAGGCAGGGAGTGCGAGTAAAAGCTTCTGCACTGCAGGTAGGCTAGCTTCCCTGCAGGTAGGCCCTAAGGGGAAGTATAACAATCTTTTTTCCTACTGATCACTATGAGTCTGTATGACACGCTGTTACAGGCCTCGTGGCCTTCACATGTTCTCTATATGTATAGATCATTCTTCTACTCTTTATCTTTTCGCTATATCAGTGTGTATCACGTTTATCTATTTCGTTATTCTTTTCTTTGTGATCTGTTTTCATCTCTCTAATATATATATATGTCTTTTCGGTTCGTAAAGGGTATCATTATTATTGCTGTTAAGAGTGGTTTTGATATCTGCAGTTCGGTCACATGTATTTTAGGGAGTGTGTGTTTTCTTTTCGTATGTTTCGGTTATATATTATTTTAATAAATTTTGAAAAGAGCAAACAGTTGGTTCATCGGCTTGGAATCAAGTCCCTACCTCTCTAATACACGCTGATAGTTATAGACTCTATCGTCAGTTACAATTCACTGTTCTTGTTCTAACTGTTTCTCTTTTCGTTATCATTACGGCTTGTCCACATAATTCGATACTTCGCTCATCAAGTTTTTGAAAAAATTATTTTAGAGTAGAAATGAAAGGAGCATATCACTAGATGCAGTTATTGCACCGAGTTATGCACCTAGACATTTTTCCTAATAAAAATGGAAGGCCACACTAATCGATAGAGAATTCGATTCTCTACAAGATAGTATGTTTCTTTTGAACTTTAGACCCAAAACAAGCTATTTAATAAAGTTTTAATTTTTGAGATTCTCACACAATTCTAAGAAAGTGAAAACATTTGTTTTCAGCTTTATGTTTACGTTAGTCTATATTAGATGCCTAACTAAGCCCGATGTGAAAATGAAATCCTTTGAGCAATGTTTAGTGCTCCAGACTTTGTTGGGAAAATGTGTGTCACAACGTCACGACGATAAAACACAATTATTGAGGCATGGAAAGCTCACTGAAAATATTCTTTTTTAGCAATCAGTAGCTCGTTTACTCCTCTACAAACTTTGCTCGAGGCGCTTGTTATTAGCTCTTCTAAATTCGAAACAAATTAGGTTTTAATGAGAAGAACTTCGAATTTAGGGCCTTTTTTTGTCAAAGCGTCACGCGCCGAAAAACGATTCTAAAAATTCGAGTCTTTACTCACATACCTTCATTTTCACAACAAGAATAGAGTATGGCGAGCTCCGTCGAATGGCCCAAGTAGCCAAAACGCAATTTTTGTAAAGGTGAAGACGCAGAAAAGCCGGAGCTTCAGCAAATGTTCTGTTTATGGCACCTAACATGCGGCGACAAGCTAAAGCAGTTAT